ATTTTTCAGTTTTTTATTTGTTAAAAAAGTTTGAAATATCCAATAAATTTCGTTCCACTTCATGATTGTGTCCCACTTGTTGTTGATTCTTCACAACAACTTACAGTTTTATATCTTTATGTTTGAAGCCTGAAATGTGGCAAAAGGTCGCAAAGTTCAAGGGGGCCGAATACTTTCGCAAGGCACTGTACCTATAACAGTCATAGTAAGAATATAAGTGAGTGACTTTTAAGACACTCTGGTGGCTCTAAGTGGTATCCTTTTTAAATGGATACTCTATGACTTACCTCCTCACTGTTTAAGGTGAAGGCCTCCAGGATGACTCCCTGCACCTCCTTACTCCCTCCCAGGGTGCCACTCCGCCCCACCTCCCCCAGACACAGCAGAGCCAGGACACGAGCAGACTCTGGAGAACCACGAGTCTTTACCTGAGGAGACACAGCCCATCGAGCTGAACAGGAATCAGAGCAGGCGAGGGTGTTGGAACAGCACACAGACACTCACACACCTCCTGTATGAGGCCGGCCAAAGTGGCTGGGGTCTCTTTGGGGCAGGCTGAGGACAGAGCAGCCGCACAGCGAGTGACGGATTGGTAGGACTGTCTGTGGATGGGGGCGCCGGCTTCGGGGGGGAGAGGACACAGCTGTGGAAAGGCTCAGTCAGAGACTTCAGCAACTGCCTGCAGAGAGGTGTCGGAAAAATTCATTCAATAATAATAAACTGCACTTACATGACACCTTCATACACAGAATGCAGCTCTATGCTTCACAAAACAACAGCAGAAAACATTACAGATCATTAACAATCCTCCTCAAATCCTAAACTGCTGCGGAGTAAACACCTAATTTTCTGCTGTTGTGGGGACATTTGGGCCAACACACACACACACAGTCTTACCTATAGCCCAGGTTACTGGTTTTGGACAGCACCAGTGCCTGGAGGAAGTCCAGTATGGCTGCCAGCACACTGGCCTGCAACAGCGGAGAGTGGACGAATACGAAGGCTCGGGGCAGCCCAGAGGAGTTGATCTTAGCCAGAGACGAGGGGCAGGCTTTGGCCATGCAGGTCAGCAGGGTGACGGACACCTAAACACAGGCACGCTGCGCGTGTACTGCTGCACGTGTACTGCTGCGGTATAACAGCAGCAGTACAAAACACTTTATATCATGGAAAACACACAGGTTAACATGTTTATGGCAATCTGGAAAATAATACGTTTTGCTGACATCAATACAAAGTTTTCTGCTAAAGTCAGAAGAGTTTTGGTTGTTTTACATGAAGGACTTCTATTTTGATTTTTCTTACTGGTTTGACGTGGACGCTCCAATCAGAATTCTGTTAGATATATGAATCATGTTATGACAGGTGTGGAGTTTTACTCTTGTCTTGTCAAATAAATCTGACAAACCTTCATGCCTGTTGTTTGTTGTGTGTAAAAAGTCAGGCCTCTATTGATCACTGTTGGAGCACCCTTAGAGGATTTAAATCAGTCATCTGGTAAGGGCAGTCATGGTAACAAAATGTAAGCAACTGTGCTATATAGACCATGTGAAAGGAAGATTACCGTGTCTCTGTGCAAAATAAGCACAATAAAACATTTGCCAAAAGTTTATTTTCTGATACATTGATACAAAATGACAACAAATATGCACTCTTGCTAAAATTACTGCCACCCTTTAATCACATGCAAATGGTGCCAATCTTCAGTTACAGTAACTTGAGGCAGACAGCACACACTGGGTAAAAAGAGCCACAAAGAAACATTCAGTCCAAAATAAAGCTGCTAAGTCACACCATAAAACAAGACCCTCTGAGACAGAAATAGCCTTAGAGATTGGCCTAGCCCAGGTGCTGACTGTGAAGTGTTATAAATAGGTAGTACTGCTATGATGAAACCATCAAAAGGCACAAACAAAATCCGGCAGGGGCAACATGGAAGCCACATGCCAAAACCCACTGAGTGTCAGCATGGGGTTATAACTAATATTGCTAAACGGGAAAACTGCACCATCATCAGGCAATTTTTTTTTTAATTGAAGCTTCAAAACCCATCAGAATTAATCTAAAAAAAATTAATTACCAGAAAGCACTGAAAGTCAAAAATGAACATCATTAAACACAGTAACTGTAATGTCAGGTGTGGGATTCATAATCCAGAGTAAAAACAGAGCAACTTGTAGCCCAGTTATACTTTACTATTATCCTTTATCAGAGTCAGGAGAGATGTCACTCATTATCAGGTTTGTCGCTATATGTTGAGATACATGATGTTACCAATGCACTTTGGCCTAAAACTGTAAAAAACCAAAAATGTTTCTTATAAGATGTTTTCAGCTACATAGTGGGGGGGAACCCCACAAATATCATGGCTGAATATGTTAGAAGATAAAGCATTTATGAGACACTGTTGACCATGTTATTGCTCATCAAGGGTTAACTCACCAATAATATTACATAAGAAATGTACAATACTGAATATAACAATACGGCAATAATAACCAAAACAGCATATTCTGCAGGAGTAATTCTTAACATTTGGCACAGGAGCTATTACTGCTGTTACAAAACGGTCATATTAACAAAATGTGCTCAGAAATCCAAGCTTTGTAAAGGGATGCTCTTGTTGTGTAGGTCAGTGTATCGGATGTTATACTATCACAAGTGGTGTTCAGAGTCAGCAAAGCACATTACAGATAATGACTAGACACAGCCTGAGAAAGCTGTTACCTGAGAGAGAGCATAAAATATTTAGCACCTAATAAAAGGTATCTTCCTTTTAGCTAAAGAGCAGTTATAAGACACTGTGTTACACAAATGAGAGCACATGCAGTTTGTAATGATTAAACTTCAAGCATTCATCCTGGTAAGTGACACATAAAAACCGACTTCCTGAAAAAGTATCTTGGAGCAGAACAGTAGAGGAGTCATTAGTGTCAAAGGAAAAGTAAGATATTTCAGTCAAACTGAAGTTTTATATAGCCTACTATCTACCTTATGACAATAACACCCCTTCTATCATTCTCACATTGCAGAATTTATTTGGCTTCTATTAACTTCAGTGGCATTCAACAGCACTTAGGTCTTATGTCACAGTTTGCATATCCCCCTTTTGACCAACATTTCATATATGCAACTTGTATGGCCTTTTAAGCAACACTGTACAACTTTCAAAAGACAAAGTACACTTTTGTCCTTGCACAAAGACGCATTACAACACACCATTACACGTTTTAGGATTTTACTGCTACAGCCTGACTTAGTCTGGTATGACCAGCTCATTGTAAATAATGTTAGCAAACTTCAGATTGCTCTGTAAGTAATGGTCGATTTGATCTTATCACTCCTCTGTACTTATGCTACCGTTACATTACATTTTACCATTTATCACTGACACATAATTGTCACTGATATCAGGCGGCAAATCAAGTCAATAAAAAAAAACACATTCTATTACACCACACAAAAAAGGCTGAAAACGATGTTGCATTCTTTAGCTTAAATTAAATGACAATTAAAATCAAGGGTGATGTTTTGAGCATTACTGAGTGATACAATTTTATATTTGTGATATTATGTGGTGGTAAAATTTAAATTTCTTTTTAAAAATCTTCATATTTTGTTACGAGAAAAGTTTTCTATAAAAAAAAAAAATCCTCCAAAGTCTCAAGCTTAAAAGTTAAAATTGTAAAGGCTGTCTCACAGGCAAATTAGCTAATCAAATCTGTTTAGCTTTACACTTCCTTCTTGCTACACCCAAAGAAAGTAAGCAATTTCATCTAGGTCTACAGGATAGTCTGTAAGGTGCAGTGGCTTTTTGATATCAAATCTCTCCCCCTTGTAGCTTCTCCAGTGGCCGGCGGGGAGGTAGATGTCACGCTCTTGCTTTCCAGGCTCTAAGACCGGAGCTACCATGAGGTCATCTCCAATCAGGAACTGGGAGTCGATTTTATAGGCTGTCTCGTCACCTGTGGCAATCCACCATAGGGGCCGTATGAGTGGGTCTCCTGTGTCAAGCACCTCACCGGCGAGCTCCAGGACTCGTGGTGCCACAATACTCTCATGAAGAGCTGTGTATTTGCGAGCAATTTCAACCACCTCAGTGTCATATTCCCATGGCGGAATAGAAAACTGCATGGAGGGCATGAAAGCTGTCAGCTCCAGCCAGCGAATATAGAGTTCTCGATCGGGTAATACACGATTTCCAACTGTGCGGTTCAGATAGGCATTCCCTCCGATCATGTCTGGTTGAATGAACTGATAGCCCAGAATGCTGAGGGTGAGCACTGTGGGGATAAGAGATTTGAGGCCAAATTCATAGCCCCAAACAGAGTCCCTATCAATAGGTCTGAAGAAACAAGATATGTTCTGGGACTGGTAGCCACTACGCAGCTCAGCTCTGTCATTGTATGGAATAGCCATTTCAGTGTAACGCCTTGTGAAAAAGCTTGGGTCTCGGATGTGAGTTCTGGTGCTAAATTGCCACGGTAAGTAGTTGGCTTCTCCTGCATCAAATTTAAAAGAGGACAACCCATACCTAGAGCGCAATGAACGCAACTTGGAGGAAAACCACTCACGGGCTTCTGGATTTGTAAAGTCCAAAATGGAACCAATTCCATTCCACCAGCGAACCAAGCCTGGCAGTCGGCCTGTAGGCTCTCGGACAAACAGCCCCCTCTCTACACAGGAATGGAAGTTTTCAGAGTCATAGTTGATAAAAGGGTGAACCCAAAGAGACACCAGAAATCCATCTGACTTCAGTTTTTGGAACATGGCAGAGGCGTTGGGGAACTTTGTTTGGTCGAAATCAAAATCCCCGTAGCGTCTGGTGTAACGGTCATCTAATTCCAGTTGGCTGCAGTTGAAGTTGTGCTTGCGGATGTTGGCAGCATAGGCCAAGAGTTTCTCTTGGTCAATGTCGGTCTTATGCAATGCCCAAGTCGACCAACTGGGATGGCGAAACATTACTTTGGCTGGCACTTTGTTTGGTTTGTTGAAATATCTGCGGACCATGTACTTGTGTATGGATGTAATGTCCAAACCTACACACACTCTGTAGCTAAGTTCAGCACACGGAGCCTCCCCTGGGTTAGGTTTGAAGGGACTGTCATTGTATCGAGCCTGGAAGTACATCGTCTTCTCCGTGTCATTCCAGCCCAGGTGGAAGGGCACAGAATTGTTGATCTTGATGGCCGTAGCATTAGATGAAACCCAGTAACTCTCCAAAATTCCTCCAAATTCATTGTGGTTTGAGTAGATGTCACTAGTAACAAAGGGTTTGGGAGCCTGGTGGCCAGAAAGAGAAATAGGCCAGCGCTGGGCTGCTGATACTGCACCGCCATACCAGTGTGCAGACTTGTATGTCATAGCATGCTCAACAGGAATGTCAGGAACCAGTTCCTCCCAGCGTACACGGTAGCATTGTACTGTGTCTTTTGGTTGCACTGTCTTAATGAAGAATTTAAGTTTTCTATCAGTTGTGGCTCCACATCTCAGAATCTCCCCTTCTTTAGTGCAGGAATCCAAATCCAATGTCCCTGACCTGCCAAGATTTAAAAATAGCTACATTTCCATACAATGTCTCCTGACAGAAGCCTCTCATTTTTGTTGTAACAGTTAAATGACAGCAGATAAAAGATTCAAGATATATTTAAAATATGTATTTGTATGCTGGCATTTTACATTCATTTTCAGAAATGCATATCATTACATATACATCAAATTTCAGAGACTGTTAAAAAAATACCAACCTGAAATCCATTCTGAAAACAATAGACCCTCCCTGGTTGCGAATGATGTAGCCATCTTTATTCAAATCCAGCAGTTGAGTCTTAAAGAGCTCAGCTTTGCGGAGAGAAGCTATGTAATAACACCACGCAGCCACTGCTGCAATCACCAGCACCAAGCCGATTACTCCAGCTCCAACTAAGGGTCGAGTGTCCCTGTTGTGTTTCTGCTTGGGGAGAACATCTGTATTCGTGCCCCCCGCTCCTCCCGGTACCACCTGGTACATGACTTGTGCCTGGTCAAAAGGCAAATCCAAGAGATGATTTTCTACAGATCATGGAAATGTTTTTTCAGGGAACCTCTTTTGTTGCACTCTGGCCCTGTTATCCTGTCTGTCTGCCTGGCAGTCATGAGAAAGAACAGACAATGAAAAGTTAGTGTCAAACATTTGCTCCTCTCATGTTTATGTTGTTTATTTAGAAAAAATGTGTTTGAAATAAAGTGATGCTACTAAAATGCCACCTATTGCCAAAGCCTCAGTACAGGTCAGCTCAGTACACCTACCCAGTATTATCAGAACTATTAGAACAATGCAGGAAAATCTCCCCAGCCAAATCCGCACACATTCAGGGTGTCAGCTTGTTTCTCAGTCTGTCTTGTTTCTATCAATTCCAAGCCTCCATTACATTTCTAGCATTGCCTTGCATGCTCTGCATTCCTACAATGTGATTTCACAGGACTAACAGGTATTACGGTGTCAGGATGTAAACTTTAAAGATGTAACGAGACAAATCTGTTGCCAATTGCCCATTAGAGGATAAAGTAGATTGTCCCCAGCAGTAATTCTTACATAGGAGTTCAAATGAAAGAAGCCTCATTTGTATGTAAGGAAGCAGAGAACCAGAAAGGGGATTTTGGCCTTAGAGGGAAGGTAAGGAGAGAAAAGCATACTAAACTTTGTGCTCCATCAAGCCAGACTAACCAGAACTAGAAGTAACCAGCCTTACTCTAGCCAAATATCTGAAACAGTTTAAAGCAAGAACATAGGAACTACATGTTCCTTTCTACTGCATGCAGGCCTTACTGTTCCAGGAGGGACACAAGAGAAACTCTTATGGGTAATTAACTGGTTGATGTTCATTATTGTGGCTTTAGCTAAATAGATTAAAGTGCCTCAGCAGGGTTCAGCTCAGTCCTGGTCAGCTCCCCTGTTTCCCAACTAGTCCTAACTGCAATTGACCCTCATGCTATATCCTGACAGGAGGGCTCAATTTAAAAAAAAAAAAAAAAAGCTTGCCATTAATTAGCAATCTAATTGACTAATTCTGTGTTCAACCACCCTTAGTATAGATTTCCCCCAACAACAGGAGTGATAACATAAACCTATCATTAATTAACTGAGAACTAACTGTTGGTTCCTTGGAGATTCCCTCAGGCTGCCTGATTCCAGTAGCGAAATTTAACACAAAAACCAGCTGAATATTTACTGTACAGGGCTATTCTATGAAAACTGTGTCTGAAATTATTTTCCTAAGAGGTCAAGATTGAAAAGAGTAACATATGACTATAAATGATATTATGTTAGGGTTCCAACTACAATTACTTTCATTGCTAATTTGCTCAATTAATTGATTATGTATTTATTTTATAAAATGTCAGTAACTTGCCTTGTTTTCCAAAGTCCAAGATGACATTACAAAAATTTTGGTTCAGTTCATAAACAGACCAAAACTTCAAGAGGAAAGAAGAAATCCAGGAAATATTCATATTTGAAAAGTGAAAGAAAGCTGCAATCAGGAGGTTTCCGCTTAAAATCGCTATAACAATTCATCATTCATTTTTTAGATTTTAGAAAATACACAAACATAAATCTAACACATTGTTTAACTTTATCTAGCATTGTTCATAATTATAAAACCAGAAACCATTTGTAACATTCATTTATCCACTTTCTCGAGAACCTCAAACGCACAAATAAAAGAGGTCCAAGAATCTGTAGTTAAGTTCCTAAGGATTTTATAAAACTAACCCTCAGATGTTTTTAAAAGGTAATTACTGATAACTTGTAATACTTTTTTAAAAATGTGTACAATATTGTAGGTTTTGTTCTGCATATATAGGTTGTTTTATGTTAATATAGGTTGTGAATTTGAATACACTCGACTGACCTAGCCTACTGTATAATTAATCCAGACAAAAATAATGGATTATCACGAGTGTTGCCTTTTAATTCTCTGCCACTCACAGAAGCCAGATCTAATCACAATTGCTAAAAATGAATAGATGATTTTTTTTTTTTTTTTTTTGCCATATAGTGGCTTTTTAAACAATCAAAAACTTTTTAAACGTTTTTCTCACAAAAAAAGTAAAAGAAGAAGAAAAAAGACAATTCTGAAAATATTCAGGCAGGGACATTTCTCTGTTTATGGTGCGATTAGGAGGTTACACATCTGCCATTTCAGTCGATTCCTAATCTGCTGTGACATGTGGAAAAATCAACACAGAGGTGCTGACAAGGCAGAAAGGATCTGCAGTGCGTGTCCTAAACATGCTGTCTGCCAGTCACCTACAGCCAATAAGTTCACTGCAGAACTTCGCAGCGCACTGACCGCTACGTGGAGGTTTTAAGCTTCAGAGTGCACACAAGCACGCACAGAGCTTATTTCGGGTACAGAAAATGCTCTTATGTCTTCTTTGCAAAATGTACCCACAACTTAAACTGTACATACGATAGACTACAGACCGTATAAAGCTGTGATGGCCTGTGCGAAAAGTTCACTGAGGGAAAACAACACGGAATGCGTGCAAGTAAAGTGACATTAATTTAGGTTATGCTTATTCTGTTTACGTTTCGGCTGTTCATTTAAAAAGTTGTGTTTACATACCGACCAGCAGCTGTCCACTCAGCGGAGCCAAACGCTACTTCTTTAGCACAGCTCACCTAAAAGATCCCACAGAAACATGTTGTTGCGTACACCCGAGTATACGCCCACTATAGTATGGGAAATGTAGTCCAATATATGGGGACATCCATTCTTCCTTCCGTTATCTATACCTCTGATTCCCAAATAGGGTCGCGGAGGTGTTGAGCCAATCCCAGCTGTTACTGGGTGAGAGGCGGGGTACACCCTGGACAGGTCACCAGTGTGTCACAGGGCTTAAAGAGGAACTGTACTCTTTTTATTTTCTCACTGTGTATGTCATGACATGCTTTGAGCAAATCACACTGGCTGCAAAACTTGATGAAACATTGGTTGTATAGTAAAAGGCAGTTATACCAAAACGTGTTTTAAGGAAGTGGGGAAAGCAATTAGCAAAAAACCTTTCTAGCTTTGCTAAACTTTCTATGGGGACTTAAGTCTATGTGATACTGTGTTTACAATGATCTTATTTGCACTGGTGTTTTATTTTCTGTACTATATGGTTTTATTATAAATACCTGTAATAATCACCATAATATGCCTGTAAAGTTTCTTTGTTTACAGAACTATTTTATTAACCATCCAAGCATGTAAAGAATTGTAGAAAATAGACTTTAAAAATAGGATCAAATTTCATGGACAGTAAATGTCACATAGAGATACATATTAGGGTCTTGGTGCCTCATTTGATTTGATCACAACAATTCCCTTATGCAAAGCTCTGTCCTGTTGATTTACTGATGTACTAAACTATAGAAGTGTCCACACTGTATACAGGGTGGAGATACTGGTGAGAGTGCAGCCTACAGTTATATTATTCATCCTTTCACCTTGTCTCACTGGGTTAATTAGTAGAGATTAAAACAATAGTGAAGTTAACGATCCCTCATTTTGCTGGGTGACCTCCGGAGACCCCTCGATGACTTCTTGAGGACCCAGTTCCCACTTTGGAAGCCAGTGCTCTAACAGTCCTACCACTGGCATTCAGACACAAACTCTGGGTGTATGATGTAGTGTCCAGCTTGGTAAGGTTTCACCACATGGAAGCAGCTGCAGCAACCACTGTTGAGAGACCATTGGAGCAAAAATTAGACCTCAGTGGTGACCTTGTGTTCTTGCCCAGCAAATGATTTTTTAATCTTATTACATGCAAGTGAACATGAACCTATTATCCAGAATACTGTTAAAGTGAGACCTGCGGTATTGTGAGCCGGAAAAGTGGTGTGAAGCTGCAGAACCATTGATAGTTTGGGGTCTTGTTTGAAGCTGAGCGCTTGCATGTTGCCTGTTAAAAACCATGTGAGTCACAGTTTTTATCACATTTAAAAAGCAGCACTCAGTTCTCACTCAATAATGTTCATTGGCTTATTCATGGTTGTTCAGAGTGCAAAGGTCACAAGAAGAGGTCATTCTTTCACCTGAGTTGCTGCTCTGAGAGTCTATTGACGTTCCTCTGAAAATCCATTGTCCTGAAAAGAAAATCAATCAGAATCAATATTTACTTAGCACAGTTTTTGTCCCACACAGTGAGTTCATTACTCACTACCTTTCTGGGGTTTTCAAAGCTGTATGGAGCTGAATCTCAGCACCAGCAGGAGGCTCAGTCAGCTGTAGTTTTGGCAATCTGTCAGCAGAGGGCAGAGCCTGTTCTGTTGCTGGGTTGACAGGAGGCATGTGTTGTGGTTTGTTCATGTCCACAGTGTTGTTGCCAGGATAAATCATAAGTGGACTGTGAAATGACACATGTCTGACAGGTGGCAAGAGAGGTCGGCCAATGTCCACAGGGGGCGAAGGGTGAGGTTGCATGCGGGGTGACCTGTAGCTGGGCTGTAGGCTCCAGGGAAACAGAAAGTCCTTGAAAGGCAAAGAAAGGAAGGACATGTATAAGTAGAAAAGAGAAGTAGAAGATAAAGTGAAGAAGATTTCACTGTTACAAACCTGTCATGCACATGTCCTTTCTACATGTAGCTACTGTATATGTCACATATCATATAATATATTTATACTACACCCAGTTTGATATTTGTATTTGATTTTGTTATCCAAATTAAATAAACCATGATTAATCTTTCTGATTCCTCACTTAGTACAAAGTAAATGTACATTAATGTACTGAATAAGTAATGGGATACAGCTTTCAACACGCACAGAAAAATGTAAACAACCGGCCATCAGTTAGTTAAACCACCTTAATCTGGCTAAGTGAAGAACAAAACAGTACAGTGTGACTAAATTAGTCCTGCCTGGCCTCAAATGCAATACCTGGAAATGTGTATTTTTATGTGTTAAAATTATATAGATTGAAAATTACCACATGAATTAATTCCCTTAAGAAATTCTACCTTTCTTTGCACTGTTGTAAATAATTAGTGTCCTTTTAATCCTATAAATTACGTGTGTGTGTGTGTGTGTGTGTGTGTGTGTGTGTGTGTGTGTTTCTTACCGGCCGAGGCTGGGGATTGTTCCTGCGGTGGGCGGAGGTAGGCCGCAGATGCGTTCGTTTTGCTTCCCCAGGTGAAGCAAACTGCTCTTTGTACATAGTAATGTAGAGCTGGGGCACCATCTTCACAAGTGGTCTTATTTTCCACTGCTTGGCTCCTGTCTGCCTGAAAGTCATGAACATCCTTCTCCTCCCCTGTCATCTGCTGGCTCCTCCCTTTCCCTCACACCTGTGTACCTGTTGACATTCTTTATACTATCACTTTTTTCAGTCAAATGGCTAAATATGTTTGGGTTTTTCTGCTTGATATTGTTGCTTGGCTGTGCATGCCACATTTTTCTGATATATATTACTCTCTCTTTGTTTAATGTTTCTTTGTACATCAGTAAGTATTAATGTTTTAGATGCTGTAGATGGTAAAACCTTTTGTTTAACCTGTAGTTATTGTAATTGATCTACTATGTTGGTTGTAGAGATGGGTTAAGAGCATCCTTGCTGACCCAGAAAAACTCTTTGTGCCACCTGAGCACTCAGTTGCTAATCCCTCTAAGCCCTGGGCCCCCTGCAGAGACACACATGCCTGAGGTCACTGTCCATGACCTGCTTCCCTCTCAGGGGACCCTTATAAACTAGCCAACACTAATCTCAAACACTAAGGTACAGCTTCCAACTGTTTAACCACCTTGTAGTTAAAACAGACTCAGTTTTATCAGAACTGCAACAAATCAGTGGAGGGATGGGATTTTTAAGAATCTCTCCCAGTCATCCATGGTCACCTTTATTCACTGTCAGCATAGCACATTAGCATCAATAATTCACCAAGTGTTGCAGGATGCCTTTGTTTCTCCAGCGCTCTGTAGGAGGAACCGGCTGTTTATCTCCCTGCAGTGGCTGAGCCTTGTTTGACAGCCATGCGAAGCTCAGTCACATCCACATCAGTAGATGCAGAGTAGAAGACATGGGGAATTGTAGAAATGATGTGGCTGCAGCATCTTTCGCTGGTGCTCACATCAAATCCAAGCAGTGGTTTGTGTTTCCTGCTTCTGTATACTCTGATGCAAGATGAATACAAAACTAGTTTGTTTACTTTACATCTCCTCCAAAGAGAAAAAAAGTTAGTCATTTCATCTAAGAAATGGTTCACAGTAGCTACAGTGGTTTTATGTAGCCCATCAGTCAAAGAAAACTCATCTCGCATTGCTCATGCTCTGCACAGCTAGTAAAGTTCAAGTGTGATGTGCAATGCAGACTTCAAAGCCCTTGTCACAGGCTCATATTCATAGTCTTACAGTATTTACTGGTGCTTGGATTTCACTGCTGTTTTCAGTTTTCCGTAGAGATAACCAAAATTCTGTAAGAGACAACAGACAGAAACTGTAAGAAGACAAATCTGACATCAAGTGTTGTCTACTTATCTGTTTGTGCTTTGAAGGTGTATGACAACATATGATATGCTGTTTGCATGGAAGAATTGCTGCATAAATGGACAATATAAAAAGTGTATTAGCAAACCTGGATTGTATAGTAAACTATCCCCAAATAAGCTGCAATGCAACCGCCAAGGAAGAGATCAAAAGCTGCAGGTTTCACTCTGAAAGGAAGAAGTATGTCAGTGTCCAAGAGTCTTTTTGAAATTAACATATGCATAAGAAGCATACAGATGCAGATATTCACCTGTACATCACTATTGGTTGGTCCATTTGATCAAAAAAGGTAATATCAGGGTCCCTGTATGAAGAAATGTGGCTAATAAGTTGTCAAACTGTTCTACTGTACTTTTACTACAGTTAAGATCATTGGGATGACAATAAGCAGCCTGTGTTTCATTCTTCTTCTACTACATGATACCTCTCATCCTGTCGAAAAGTGTGTCTGTGGACTTGCTGTAGGTAGCGTTTGAATTCGTGCTCCAGTGAGTTGACCAGGAGGATTTGACCAGGTTCCTTATCCAGCAGCTGGGCTGCCCGAGGGACTGACGTCAGGAAGTTCATCAAACTGGACATACGACTATCTTGAAAGTCCTACAAGATTTAGATGTGGATTTACAGAAGGACGTTTTTTACTGAGTTATTTGTATTTGTATGTCAGGGAATCCTAATTGTTACCCGTGAAACACCCAGTTTGGGTTTTTATAGTATAGTCTTTTATGACATCAACTTTCTAATGCATTATAACAACAGCGATTATGTAAATCAATGGCATTTGTTTTATCCAGTTTTCAATCTTAATAAATGAAATGAACAAACTAAAGGTATTACACAGACCCAGGCCTTTGAAGACAGTTACTTTGCAATTCCTAATAATTAGCACCAGAGGTCAGCACTTGTATTTGTGTTGTGACTAAAATAACAAAGATCTCACCATGTGGCCCTTAAAAACCTGCACATCATTTGGTGAACCCTTGTGGAGATAATAAAGACTGTCAGTACTTTAATACAAGGACGTAAAACAATTGGTGAATCAAAAGGTTCAAATATATGTACTAATTTACCTTGTCAGAGAGATTGTACATATACCGTGCCAGTGCTTCTGCAATGAGGATGCCATTTCTCTTAAGCGTCCTGAAATCCACTTGTGACCTGTGAGAAGATATTCACTTGTCCAGGAAAATCTAGAGTATGTGTCTTTTTAAATCATCTTTTTATACCATCAAAGTAAACAAGGGATGCATGCAGCTTAAA